CACTGAAGAGAGTCTGGAAATATTCAGACCGCCGATTCAAGATGGAGGCTTTATCTATGAGAAGCATTTGGCCGTCTGCACTTAGCAGCTGGCTTTGAACATGGTGTGTGGGTCCGTACACTGCTTTCAGAGCCTCATAGAATCCTCTGTGGTCACCTGAACCAGCACATAGTTGAGTCTTTTCTGCTAGGTTGATCCACCACTTGTTCTGGATGTCTCGAAGTTTCTGTTGGAGCTTACTGCCCAGTAGTAGGACAAGGAATAACGGGTATAAGCTAGAATATAGGAAGTTCCACCTCCACATGAGGAGAAACCTCTTTACTGTGAGGATGACAGAGCACTGGTACAGGCTGCCCAGAGAGGTTGTGGAGTTTCCTTCTCTGGAGACTTTGAAAACCCACCTGGACGCATTCCTGTGTGGCTGCCCTAGGGGATGCTGCTCTGGCAGGGGGGTTGGACTAGAGGATCGCTAGAGGTCCCTTCCAGCCGTGAACATTCTATCATTCTATGATTAAGTCTTGCTACAATTCTCACAACTATTACACTGGATTTGTTTTTTTATGATTTTTTAAAAAATATATGTGTCCGTACTAAAATATCTAAGTCAATACTAATACTGTGGAGGTTCACATTTGTATCGGAAGTATTGAGCTGGTGATGTGGTTGACTGTAGCCTGGCATTACTAGTTACCATTGAAAAGTGTAACTTTATTTCCCATTTTCTGTTTTGCATGAAGTTTACTGAATATACTGTGACAGTTTGGTATTGCTGGTTGCGAGGCTAAAGGGTAGTTTTAAACACTCTTTAAATAGCTAGTTTATGCTTCAGGTGTATAAAAATGATAAGCTTGGAAAAGTTCCATGATGTTCTTTAGCAGTCATCTCATCTTAAAGGAAATAATTATATTCAGAGGAAAGAAACATTTTAGCAATGAAGATGGGAAATAAATTTATCGTATTGTGGCTGAGAGCCCTCATCTCACATTGTGAAGAAACTCTCAGCAAGGTTTAAGCAACTCTTCACAGTAGGTGTTTGCAGAAAAGCTGAGCTGCCAGGCACTGTGATTTTGACGAAAGAGAGGAGAACATATTGCTAATTCTGCTTTTTCCCTCTGCTCCATTTCAAGTGGATTTTTACGAGACAAGTCTTTTTTTATAGGTGATTATATTCATTTTTAGTCTGGTTTGAAGTACTCACTGTCAAGAGGATCTATGAGTTTCTTTCATGCTGGGAAATCCAAGTGTATTTTCCTTTTGGAAAGTTATGTCATTTCCTCAACCATGGTTATTTCCTCAGTACAGCTTTTTTTTGTTAGATTTACAGATTCTGCCTAAAGAGAAAGAAAATTCTGTAACATGCAGTAAGCTAGAGTCACTGCTAATCAACAGAGAACATTTCTGAACATTAGATAGACCAGTACCAAAGGCACCTTGTCTGGCTATTTTAATGCATAAGAAATGCTTGCAAAGCAGGAGAAAGTTTTAGGGACAATTAAGGATTGTTTGACTTTTAATACGAGTGATTGGTACTATTTATTTGTCAGAGGAAGGTGAAAGAATAGAAGTTGATTTAAATGCTGGGCAACATTAAATGAGACAATGTAAAAAATTTAGGCAGCAAGTGTGCCTTAGTTTTTCATCTGCAAGTATTAACCAGTTGGATAGAGGAAATATTTAGGTTGCTGTCATATGGTTTTACAATTAACCTGGAGTGGAAGTTGCTGAGTAAGCTCATGGTACTGATACAGGGCTTGGGGCTTAAAATATTGAAGAAAGCTTAAGTTTGATTTTTTAAAAAATGTAGGAGGAATAGTACTGGGGCGAGGAGGAGGGGAAGCAAGCTTGCTGTCTTATTGAAGGTACATTATAGAACATCACACCAGGATGCCTCGATGGGGAATTTTGTCTAGGAAATATGGGATTGGGAAGCATTGCAAGGCTTTGTGGTTGTGTTGTTTTGTGCTCCTCGGCCATTTTTAGAGGGAAGAAATGCATCTGCTCACAGACTGTGCCTAGCAAAGTCTTAGAATATTTTTCAATTGGAAAAAGAGGAAAACAAAATATTCAGGTATATTTATGAGTGAGTACAAGGAAAGCGTTTGGGGGGCAAATGACCAAAAAATGAAGGACAATTAGTAAAATAAAATGGATTAGAGTGTCCGGTGCACTGAGTGAATTGGTTGATAGGATCTTACCTATAGCAAATAGGAAAAATGACAATTTTTTAACACAAGTGTTAAGGATAGAAGTGTAAACTCAGTGCAGAAAGGTTAGAGTTGTAAATCACGAGGTTTCTTCAATGATCTAAAGAAAAGTATTGTGAAACAGGACAAAGAATGAGAAAATGTGAAAGGCTGTCAAGCAAGTAGGAACAAAATGAGCAAATGCAAATTTTACAAAGCTATAATTAGCAAAGGGCATTCCAGGTTTCAAAATAACTCATAAATAGATTAGCACTAAATGCCAGCAAGAGATGGTCCTGGTATTCAGTGAAGAACTATCCTGAGATAACCTATTTGTTCTTTATTAACCGTTTTGAAGAATTATAGCATTCAGACAGTGTTAAAGATACTTGAGCATGGAGAGAAAAGGTAAAATTAAACTCGGTTTTAAGACCAGATTAAAATAGGCAGAGAAGAGCCTAGAAAGTATTTAGACATGTCAGAGACTTATAATTTATTTTCACAATGCCTGTTGGCAGGTAGGAGGCAACCTGAGCTGAGGGCTTCTCTGGAACTCCAGCAATGACTGCTGACAAGTTGCTGCCTGCATGGGAGCACCTATGCTCCCAAACTCACATCCGCAAAGGCTTCTTCTGGGTTGTAGTGGAGTGATTTGAGAAATTCTGCTAGTATTTGCACAGGGATCTAGGAGCCCCTCAAGTTTAGTAGCAGCAAACAATCTAGAGGGCCTGCAATTTTTGAAGGGCTGCTTCACAGAACCACAGATTGTTAGGAGTTGGAAGGGACCTCAAAAGATCATCTAGTCCAGCCCCCCCCGCTAGAGCAGGATCACCTACAGTAGATCGCACAAGTACTCATCCAAGTTAGTTTTGAATGTCTTTAGAGAAGGAGACTCCACAACTTCCCTGGACAGCCTGTGCCAGTGCTCTGTCACCCTCACAGTGAAAAAGTTTTTTCTAATATTTTTATGGAACCTGCTATGTTCCAGCTTGTACCCGTTACTCCTTGTCCTGTCATTGGATGCCACTGAAAAGAGCCTGGCTCTGTCCTCCCGACAATCCCCCTTGATGTATTTATAAACACTAATGAGGTCACACCTCAGCCTCCTCTTCTCCAAGCTAAAGAGACCCAGCTCCTTCAGCCTCTCCTCATAGGAAGATGTTCCACTCCCTTAATCATCTTTGTGGCTCTGCGCTGGA